AGGCTCAGTAGTGTGTGTGGCCTCCACGTGCCTGTATGACCTCCCTACAACGCCTGGGCATGCTCCTGATGAGGTGGCGGATGGTCTCCTGAGGGATCTCCTCCCAGACCTGGACTAAAGCATCCGCCAACTCCTGGACAGTCTGTGGTGCAACGTGGCGTTGGTGGATGGAGCGAGACATGATGTCCCAGATGTGCTCAATTGGATTCAGGTCTGGGGAACGGGCGGGCCAGTCCATAGCATCAATGCCTTCCTCTTGCAGGAACTGCTGACACACTCCAGCCACATGAGGTCTAGCATTGTCTTGCATTAGGAGGAACCCAGGGCCAACCGCACCAGCATATGGTCTCACAAGGGGTCTGAGGATCTCATCTCGGTACCTAATGGCAGTCAGGCTACCTCTGGCGAGCACATGGAGGGCTGTGTGGCCCCCCCAAAGAAATGCCACCCCACACCATGACTGACCCACTGCCAAACCGGTCATGCTGGAGGATGTTGCAGGCAGCAGAATGTTCTCCACGGCGTCTCCAGACTGTCACGTCTGTCACATGTGCTCAGTATGAACCTGCTTTCATCTGTGAAGAGCACAGGGCGCCAGTGGCGAATTTGCCAATCTTGGTGTTCTCTGGCAAATGTCAAACGTCCTGCACAGTGTTGGGCTGTAAGCACAACCCCCACCTGTGGACGTCGGGCCCTCATACCACCCTCATGGAGTCTGTTTCTGACCGTTTGAGCAGACACATGCACATTTGTGGCCTGCTGGAGGTCATTTTGCAGGGCTCTGGCAGTGCTCCTCCTGCTCCTCCTTGCACAAAGGCGGAGGTAGCGGTCCTGCTGCTGGGTTGTTGCCCTCCTACGGCCTCCTCCACGTCTCCTGATGTACTGGCCTGTCTCCTGGTAGCGCCTCCATGCTCTGGACACTACGCTGACAGACACAGCAAACCTTCTTGCCACAGCTCGCATTGATGTGCCATCCTGGATGAGCTGCACTACCTGAGCCACTTGTGTGGGTTGTAGACTCCATCTCATGCTACCACTAGAGTGAAAGCACCGCCAGCATTCAAAAGTGACCAAAACATCAGCCAGGAAGCATAGGAACTGAGAAGTGGTCTGTGGTCACCACCTGCAGAACCACTCCTTTATTGGGGGTGTCTTGCTAATTGCCTATAATTTCCACCTGTTGTCTATTCCATTTGCACAACAGCATGTGAAATTTATTGTCAATCAGTGTTGCTTCCTAAGTGGACAGTTTGATTTCACAGAAGTGTGATTGACTTGGAGTTACATTGTGTTGTTTAAGTGTTCCCTTTATTTTTTTGAGCAGTGTATATCACATTTCTTTGTTTAAAAAAAATTGCTATTTCATCACCTGCCGAATAAAACCCCCAAATGGCCCTACTCCTGAAAAAGTGAATCGGGCCGGATAAGATGAAGTGGACTTGGCCCGAGTACCATTAGCCAGAGCCCGAGACCTTAACCCGCTTTGGTGCCAGATGATGTTTGCCAAGTGCGCTAAACTGAATCACGCGAAGCCTCCTGAAAAATAACATTACTCCAATTTTAATAATTGTAATGGTTCTAATGTCTTATATGCAATTGGTGCATGGTCCACAAACACTATGCACATGTTTACATAGATTGGTTTCTATTAATTGATTAGCATTTAGATAACTGGTCAGCAGTTCAATCAGATTTCAACCAAAAACCAGATATCAACCAAAATAAGACATATTTTTCATGACATCAAAAATACTTCATCTGGTTGTGATATGGTTATAAGACACCCCGACCAGATTTCAACCAGTAAAATACGTATTTATCACATCGTATGAATCTACTACTACCAGCAACTTAGAGACAGAATCCTTCATGAGTCGGTATCATAATAATGAGGTATTCCCATCCACAGCACAGACTGGCCGGGCATGCCACAGTATAGCTACAGATCACAACACCAGATCATGTGATTAACCAAAACACTTTCGTATACATTTTACTCATCATCTCATTGGTCGAGAACAGGTGTCTGTCATCGTGGTGGCGAAACTTAAAAGACCACATCAAACATTTGACTCAGCAGGAAATGCCATATTTCAGCGTCTTGTTCTTCTTCTGTAATGCTTCGAAGCTCAACATGATTATTCGACCCAGACGATAATCAAACTCTACAACCCATTATTACAGGGATCATCAACTAGATTCAGCCACGGGCACCTTTTTTCTTGAGCGGATGGTCGGGGGGACTGGAACATTTTTTAAAAATATAAACGTAACATGTAAAAGTGTTGGTCCCGTGTTTCATGAGCTGAAATAAAAGGTACCAGAAATGTTTAATATGCACAAAAAGCTTATTTCTCGCAAATGTTGTGCACAAATTTGTTTACATCCCTGTTAGTGAGCATTTCTCCTTTGCCAAGATAATCCATCCACCTGACAGGTGTGGTATATCAAGAAGCTGATTAAATAGCATGATCATAATACAGGTGCACCTTGTGCTGGGTACAATAAAAGGCCACTCTAAAATGTACAGTTTTGTCTCAAGTTTTGAGGGAGCGTGCAATTGGCATGCCGACTGCAGGAATGTCCTCCAGAGCTGATGCCAGATAATTTAATGTTCATTTCTCTACCATAAACTGTCGTTTTAGAGAGTTTGGCAGTACGTCCAACCGGCCTCACAACCGCAGACCATGTGTAACCACGCCAGCTCAGGACCTCCACATCTGGATTCTTCACCTGCAGGATAATCTGAGACCCTCGCCCGGACAGCTGATGAAACTGAGGAGTATTTCTGTCTGTAATAAAGCCCTTTTGTGGGGGGAAAAATCACTCTGATTGGCTGGGCCTGGCTCCCCAGTGGGTGGGCCTATGCCCTCCCAGGCCCATCCATGGCTGCGCCCCTGCCCAGTCATGTGAAATCTATAGATTAGGGCCTAATTTATTTATTTCAATTGACTGGTTTACTTATATGAACTGTAACTCAGTAAAATAATTGAATTTGTTGCATGGTGCGTTTATATTTTTGTTCAGTATACTTTAGCCACGTGGTAAATTGGATTCTTGATATAGCTCACGCTAATACAGGTTTTCCCAAACTCGGTCCTGGGGCCCATTTTGGTTTTTGCGCTACACAGCTGATTCAAATAATCAACGCTTGATGATGAGTTGGTTATTTGAATCAGCTGTGTAGTGCTAGGGCAAAAACCAAAATGTGCACCCCGGGGGGTTAGCTGCTCAAATATCTCTACTGCTGGACATATCATTCTTAGTATATCTTGTGTAAATTCTTCCGGTGTACAGACATATATTGATTATTGCTACAGTGCTATTTGGGTGCTAATTGGATTCGATGTTCTTCATTTCTTGTTTTTTTGCTGTACTTAAAAAAAAAAAAAAAAAAGGATTTTTTTTTTGTACTTGTTTGACATTTTACTCATTAAAACCAGATTTTACTGCATTGTTAGGAGCTAGTATCATAAGCATTTCGCTGCACCCTCTATAACATCTGCTAAAATGTTGACTAGGCTCCTCCACCGGTGTCTTCTGCTTCTTCATCTCTTCATCCACTCTTCCACAGCAGGCTCTGAAACTAGACGCTAACATTCTACATCCAGCCTATCAACACAGAGCCTCCAGGTAGGCTCCCACCTACTTAGTCCCACTCCACCTACATGGAGGGTAGGCTCCCACCTACTTAGTCCCACTCCACCTACATGGAGGGTAGGCTAGCACCTACTTAGTCCCACTCCACCTACATGGAGGGTAGGCTCCCACCTACTTAGTCCCACTCCACCTACATGGAGGGTAGGCTCCCACCTACTTAGTCCCACTCCACCTACATGGAGGGTAGGCTCCCACCTACTTAGTCCCACTCCACCTACATGGAGGGTAGGCTACCATCGATCTTGATCCTCCGTTCTGTTCTGAAGCATCAGGTCATAGTGGCATTACTAAGGCAGTTCGGTGTTTTAATTGTATCTATAGCATCATCAGAGGCACAATAAGCAGCAGTGGTATATTGTGATGTCAGTGTGTACGTTGACAAAGTAGGAATAAGTCAACAGAAAGTAGAGAATATTTCTTTATTTCCATTTTTTTTTTAATCAGGTGAAGAAAAATACCTTTTTTTGTTCTGTATAATAAAATATGTTAACTTTATTCATTTTATGAAGAAAAACATAACAAGAAAGAAATGAAAAACAAGGAAGAAAAAAAAAACACATTTCTCATCCTCTTTGTTAAACCTGGAGAGATTTGCTGCATTGCACAGGAAGCAAGTAGATCTGAGGCAGAGTGTGAGGGAGGGAGTGGGGAAGGAAGGAAGGGGTGAAGTTTCCCCCCCGAGGGAACAGATCTAGAATCAGTGTCCCCTCTCCCAGTCCTAACCTTAACCATTAGTGGGGGAAAATGCTAAAAACAGACCCAAAATCAGCGTCCTGGGGCAAATTCACCCTACACTAGTAAGGAGGTAAGGGCGATGGAGGTGGAAGGAGGGAGGAAGGAGGGTGAAAAAGGAGGAGGGAGCAGACAGGATGATTATGACATATAAGATAAGGCCAGGGACATAGAAAACATGTTCTGAGTGTTGTAGAGCAGAGCTAGCCTGGTGCCAGATCTGTCTGTGCTGTTTTGCCAAACTGGCGTGACAACGATGAGTGAAAAAGGAGACGGTAAGACATCACCAACAGATCTGGGACCCAGGCTAGAACAGGACTGCAGTGATGGCCCAGTGAGAACAAGATGTTGACGTCTTTTCAACCAAAAATACATATTTTTTTAAAACATATTTTCTAACACAAATGACATATTTTCAACATATTTTCAACCATAAATATGTATTTTTGATGTCTTTTCAACTAAAAATACATTTTCAACGTCTTGTGCTCACTGGAAGGACAGTAGGATGGTCTTGCGGGCGGTGGTGAGAGCAGGTAGACTGGTGAGTGACCTCATAAGGCATAACCTCCCAGGTCAGGGGTCAAAGGTCACCCAAAGGTGACTCAGAGGTCACTCTCTCCGTAGAGTGCGGTGGAGAAGGACATGTAGTCCAGGGCGCCGGGTACGGCGTCGGTGCCGGAGTAGGGCGCCATGCGTGCGATGCAGTAATCTGCCTGATCAGGAGGCAACTCACGACGAAGCTCATCGGCCATGATGAAGTTCTGGTGTAAGGGGACAGAAGAAGGCAAGAATAGTAAATGAGGATGTAATGTTTGATGTTTCCGTCTGTATTGACCGTATAGCCCTGCCAGATGAGCTAGGACCAAGTGTGTGCGGTACCTTCACATAATCCACCACATCACACACTTCAGCGCTGGAAGCATTGTGAATACAAAAGACACCCCGTGAAAAATCGTCAAGCACTTCATTCACTCCTGGATAAGTGTGCATGGCCCGTCCCAGAAATTGCACAGTGACAATTGAGGAGAATTCAATGAATTAATGAAATAAGACATTCAACATGGAGGTAAAGCCAACTGCTGCATACAGTCCATGGAGCAATGGACTTCTGGAGAGACATAATCAAACGCTCACAGAGATCAAGCTGAAAGTCAAGCAAGACAATGGATGTGACTGGAAAACAGCCCTAGCTTGTAGATCTGCTGTCTGTCTTCCTTTTCCTTTCATATTGTGTATTCTTCTTCCTTATTAACCCATCTCTTCCCAATGAGCACAAGACAATGAAAAGACATCGAAAATACATATTTTTGGTTGTGCTTGCTGGGTTGCTTTATAAAGAAATATAAACTATTTGGACTAGGGTGAGTCAGTTGGCAACTGTTGATGAAAAGGGCTTTAAGAATGCATTTGATTTATTGATTGAATGACTAAACTGACTGATTGATTGACTGATTGATTGATTGACTGATTGATTTGATTGCTTGCTTGCTAGCTTGATTAATTGAATAGTTGATAAATGTATATGATTACCTTGTCCCCAGCCAGGACCTTGAAGGAGGCAATGACCTGGTCAGCGGTGTCAGTATCGGCCGTCTCCCGGGACATGAAGTCAATAAAGGACTGGAACGTGACCACGCCCACCCGGTTGGGATCGACGATGCTCATGATGCGAGAGAATTCCGCTTCACCCTATTGGACAGGAGCCATGGAACACTATCACCATGGGGACCGTCGCCAGAGCAACAAGCAAACACACTGCAAGCATCACATCACATTCTGCAGTTAGCAGATGGAGCTTTCACATAAAGGTGAGTATAGACTGTGTCCCAAATGGTACACTATTCCCTATAATATAGTGGACTACTTTTAACCAGGTCCCCATAGGGACCCATTGTACGACAGCACAAACAGATGTGACTGGGACCAGGCAATACAGACAGTAAACAAAGTAGAATGTCTATACTGTAAATGAGAGATCAGACATGTTTTCTGGTTATCTATCAATCCGATGGTGATTGGTGGACCGTTTTGTTTCCAAATAAATGTAGACTGATCTTGAAGAGACGAGTGAACAGTTGTTACCTTTCCACAAAGGACTACAAGGCAGACACATATTGCTACGTTCATACGTTCATAGGTTCATAGGAGGGTACTTGACAGAGGGCGGGATGGAACGGGTGGTTTGGCTTTACCATGTTGTAACCGAGGGAGATAAGGCAGGTTTTGAAGTCTTCCGCTTCCATCATCCCTGTTTTCTTCTACAGGTACCAGAGAGGGACAAACAGTACGGAGGACGAAGAACGAAGGAGGAGCAGATTGAAAGGTGGAAGAGGAGGTTTGGGGGAGAAATGGAGTAGGATAGGGATGTCACAGGTATCCAGGTGGACATTAAGAAGAAGAAGAAGAAGAATTGAGGTAGAGGGGGGAGAGAGGGGGGTACAGGGAATACATTGAGGTAGAGGGGGGATAGAGGGGGGTACAGGGAATACATTGAGGTAGAGGGGGGATAGAGGGGGTACAGGGAATACATTGAGGTAGAGGGGGGATAGAGGGGGTACAGGGAATACATTGAGGTAGAGGGGGGATAGAGGGGGGTACAGGGAATACATTGAGGTAGAGGGGGATAGGGGGGGGTACAGGGAATACATTGAAATAGAGGGGGATAGAGGGGGGTACAGGGAATACATTGAGGTTAGAGGGAGGATAGAGGGGGTACAGGAATACATTGAGGTAGAGGGGGGATAGAGGGGGGGGATCATGAGGGGGGGTACAGGGGGGGAATACATTGAGGGTAGAGGGGGGGATAGAGGGGGGTACAGGGAAGACATTGAGGTAGTTGGGTAGAGGGTGATAGAGGGGGGTACAGGGAATACATGGGGAGGGTAGAGGGGGAGATAGAGGGGGTACAGGGGAATACATTGAGGTAGAGGGGGGATAGAGGGGGGTACAGGGAATACATTGAGGTAGAGGGGGGATAGAGAGGGGGGTACAGGGAATACATTGAGGTAGAGGGGGATAGAGGGGGTAAGGGATACATTGAGGTAGAGGGGGGATAGAGGGGGGTCAGGGAATACTTGGGTAGAGGGGGGATAGAGGGGGGTTGGGTACAGGGAATACATTGAGGTAGAGGGGGGATAGAGGGGGACAGGGAATACATTGAGGTAGGGGGGATGAGGGTGGGTACAGGGAATACATTGAGGTAGAGGGGGGATAGAGGGGGGTACAGGGAATACATTGAAGGTAGAGGGGGATAGAGGGGGGGTACAGGGAATACATTTAGGTAGAGGGGATAGAGGGGGGTACAGGGAATACATTGAGGTTAGAGGGGGGATAGAGGGGGGTACAGGGAATACATTGAGGTAGAGGGGGGATAGAGGGGGGTACAGGGAATACATTGAGTAGGGGGGATAGAAAGGGGGGTACGGGAAAATTGAGGTAGAGGGGGATAGAGGGGGACAGGGAATACATGAGGTAGAGGGGAGATAAAGGGGGTACAGGAATACATTGAGGTAGAGGGGGGATAGAGGGGGGTACAGGGAATACTTGAGGTAGAGGGGGTATAGAGGGGTACAGGGAATACATTGAGGTAGAGGGGGGATAGAGGGTGGGTACAGGGAATACATTGAGGTAGAGGGGGATAGAAGGGGGGTACAGGGAATACATTGAGGTTTGAGGGGGGATAGAGGGGGTACAGGGAATACATTGAGGTAGAGGGGGATAGAGGGGGTACAGGGAATACATTGAGGTAGAGGGGGGATAGAAGGGGGGTACAGGGAAATACATGAGGTTTGAGGGGGATAGAGGGGGGTACAGGGAATACATTGAGGTAGAGGGGGATAGAAGGGGTGGGACAGGAATACATTGAGGTAGAGGGGGGATAGAGGGGGGGTACAGGGAATACATTGAGGTAGAGGGGGAATAGAGGGGGGTACAGGGAATACATTGAGGTAGAGGGGGATAGAGGGGGTACAGGGAATAATTGATGAGGGGGTAAGAGGGGGGTACAGGGGAATACATTGAGGTAGAGGGGGATAGAAGGGGGGTAAGGGAAACATTGAGTTTGAGGGGGGGATAGAGGGGGGGGTACAGGGAATACATTGAGGTATAGGGGGATTAAAGGGGGTACAGGGAATACATTGAGGTAGAGGGGGGATAGAGGGGGGGGTACAGGGAATACATTGAGGTAGAGGGGGGTATAGAGGGGGTACAGGGAATAATTGAGGTAGAGGGGGGATAGAGGGGGTACAGGGAATACATTGAGGTAGAGGGGGGATAGAGGGGGTACAGGAATACAAATTTAGGTAGAGGGGAAGAGGGGGTACAGGGAATACATTGAGGTAGAGGGGGGATAGAGGGGGGTCAGGGAATACAATGAGGTTTGAGGGGGAAGAGGGGGGTTACAGGGAATACATTGAGGTAGGAGGGGGATAGAGGGGGTACAGGAAAGGTAGAGGGAATAGGTACATTGGGTAGAGGGGGGATAGAGGGGTACAGGGAATACATTGAGGTAGAGGGGGGAAGGGGGGGGTACAGGGAATAATTGAGGTAGAGGGGGGGATAGAGGGGGGTACAGGGAAATACATGGGGGTAGAGGGGGGGGATAGAGGGGGGGTACAGGGAATACATTGAGGTAGAGGGGGTGATAGAGGGGGGTACAGGGAATAAATTGAGGTTAGAGGGGATAGAGGGGGTACAGGGAATACATGAGGTAGAGGGGGGATAGAGGGGGGTAAAAAAAGAGGACAAACAATTGTTAGGGTAGAGGGGGATGTGTTAGAGGTGCACGTAGGGAATAAAGTGATCAGGCAGGGATTAGCCCAGAGGCCGATGGCTGGGGTAGCAGGTGGGTAGGAGGGCCATTGAGGGAGGGGGGGAAAAAGGAGGGCGGGTAAACAGGGAACAAGCCAGGTAGGGCAGGTGTGGAGGGGTGTCAGTAGCAGGGGGCAATTCAGAGCACAGACACATGGAGGGTTGTTCAGAGGTGTCAGTGGGGCATGGGGGGGTGTCAAGGTGGGTGGATACGGAGGTAAAGGGGTGTTTGAAAAGGGGGGGGGGGTTTGGGTAGGAGGTGGACTGGTTGAAGGGTGGGTAGGGGGGATAGGATAGGGGTTGGGGTTGGGTGATGGTGATAAGGGGTGGATGGGTGGTGTTAAAGGGGTCGGGATAGGGGGGAATGAAAGGGGGTTGAGGGGATAGGGGTGGATGATAGGGGGGGTAGGGTGGATTTGAAAGGGGGGAGGGGGGGGGTAGGGGGGGATGGGGTGGATGGTTGATAAGGGGTGGGATAGGGGTGGATGTGTTATAAGGGGTTTGGGGGGATAGGGTGGATGGTTGATAAGGGGTTGGGAATAGGGGTGGATGGTTGATAAGGGGGTCGGGGATAGGGGTGGAGGTGATAAGGGGTTGGGGATAGGGGTGGATGGTTGATAAGGGGTCGGGGATAGGGGTGGATGGTTGATAAGGGGTCGGGGATAGGGGTGGATGGTTGATAAGGGGTCGGGGATATGGGTGGATGGTTGATAAGGGGTTGGGGATAGGGGTGGATGGTTGATAAGGGGTCGGGGATGGGGTGGATGGTTGATAAGGGGTTGGGGATAGGGGTGGATGGTTGATAAGGGGTTGGGGACAGGGGTGGATGGTTTGATAAGGGGTCGGGGATAGGGGTGGATGGTTGATAAGGGGTCGGGGATGGGTGGATGGTTGATAAGGGGTCGGGGATAGGGGGGGATGGTTGATAAGGGGTTGGGGATAGGGGTGGATGGTTGATAAGGGGTTGGGGATAGGGGTGGATGGTTGATAAGGGGTTGGGGATAGGGGTGGATGGTTGATAAGGGGTTGGGGATAGGGGTGGATGGTTGATAAGGGGTCGGAGATAGGGGTGGATGGTTGATGGTTGATAAGGGGTTGGGGATAGGGGGTGGGGTTGATAAGGGGTTGGGGATAGGGGTGGATGGTTATAAGGGGTTGGGGATAGGGGTGGATGGTTGATAAGGGGTCGGGGATAGGGGTGGATGGTTGATAAGGGGTTGGGGATAGGGGTGGGTGGTTGATAAGGGGTCGGGGGATAGGGGTGGATGGTTGATAAGGGGTTGGGGATAGGGGTGGATGTTGTTGATAAGGGGTCGGGATAGGGGTGGATGGTTGATAAGGGGTCGGGGATAGGGGTGGGTGGTTGATAGGGGTCGGGGATGGGGTGGATGGTTGATAAGGAGTTGGGGATATGGGTGGACGTTGATAAGGGGTTGGGAATAGGGGTGGATGGTTGATAAGGGGTTGGAGATAGGGGTGGATGGTTGATAAGGGGTTGGGGTTAGGGGTGGATGGTTGATAAGGGGTTGGGGATAGGGGTGGATGGTTTATAAGGGTTGGGGATATGGGTGGATGGTTGATAAGGGGTTGGGGATAGGGGGGTGTAGGGGATGGTGATTAAGGGGTTGGGGATGGGGTGGGATGGTTGATAAGGGGTTGGGGATAGGGGTGGATGGTTGATAAGGGGTTGGGGATAGGGGTGGATGGTTGATAAGGGGTTGGGGATAGGGGTGGGTGGTTGATAAGGGGTCGGGGATGGGATGGGGTGGGTGGTTGATAAGGGGTTGGGGGATAGGGGTGGGTGGTTGATAAGGGGTTGGGGCCATGCACAAGAAGAGACAGAGAACACAACAGTGTACAAACGTTAGGACCTTACAGTGAGGAGCTGTAGCTGTGACACACTGCTGTGTTTGGCCAGTGACAGGACATTCATTCAGAGGTGTTCGGTACAGTGTGGCAGGCAGACTTTACAGTACAGGGCCTTGTGTAATGGTATGCGACAGGCTATCATTCATACGTCATAGTTTGGGAAACCCGGGCATAGCACATATTTTCCCCTTAGTCTGAGACGTGACTGTAAAACCTCGTAACGCCATAGGGATGGATACACTCTACAGCCATGTCTCAGGGAAAAGTTGTCCTTACATATCTGTCTCCAATAGACTCCACATCAAAGAGAAAACCTCATTAACTCATAACTGCCCTAAAAAAATGGATTTGTATTAAATGCTGCCTCATGGTGACAGAGTGGAAAAACGTGACAGATATCCCCAAGAATAGAAAGACACGACACTAGAACCGTTTCCCCTTAGGACTCCTTCCACAGTTACTGACTGAGGCTATTGACTGATGAACAATAGGGGTGGCTATGGAAGAATGCATGAGGTCATGGAGAAATGTAATGGTGGAGTCTAGCTATCAAGGCTCGGTTGGGGATATGGAGGAGTGTAGGAAGGAGGAGGAGGGGAGGAGAAGGGGAGGAGAAGGGGAGGAGAAGGGGAGGAGGAGGGGAGGAGAAGGGGAGGAGGAGGGGAGGAGAAGTGTGTAAGATAAATAAAAACTCCTCCATCCATCCATAATAGGAGGTGTTCTGTTCTTGATACTGAGCTACTGATGTAAACACTGTGGTCTGGGAGGAGGTGGGGGGGGGGAGAGGATAGGAGGGGAGGGGAGGGGGAGGGGAGGAGGAGAGGGAGGAGGGGGGAGGAAAGGAAGGGAGGGGAGAGAGGAAGGGAGGGGGTGGAGAAGTGGGACGGATGGGGGCTAGGGGCTTCAAAAAGCTAGGGAGAATGTCTTCTGAGAGGAACAGTATATTTGGTGTCCTGAGGTTTGCTCCCATCAGTGGAGTAGGAGTAAGGTGATCTTATCCTCTCCCCTCATATACTCACATTTCTCTTCATCAACAAATAGATCAACTTAAATTAGTTCAACACCACTATCGATGTTATCAGTTGGTCAACACTGATTATCTACATGATGCAAAAACAAACCCTTCATAAGTCCCCTAGTTTGTTAGTCCCACTATATGAGAGGATTAACATGGTCCAATGACCCACAACAAACTATCCTCTCTTACCTCAACCTCCTGGCTTTGCTGATGTGGCCTACATATGTGGAAAACGCATTGTTTATAAAAATATTCCGATCCCTACTATTTAGTAGGTAGACAATGAGTGTACTGTAAAACCTCTTCCTCCCTGCATTCTCTGTGAAACTGACCCTGTCGAAGTGGTTGAAGGAGGCTCTGAACTCGTTCATCTGGTCCTGGCTGATGCCCTTGGCGTCCCTCGTCAGAATCTGGTTCTCGATCTCATTGATGGTTCTGGCGATGGTGGTCAGGAGCTGCTCCCAGCCCACACGGATATGCTGCAGGGGGGGGGTAAGACCCAAGATTGTCATCGTAAGGTCACACATTCAAAAACGTATTCTGAAGGTTCTCTAGTTGTCAATAAGAATTGTACCCGATCTCGATATGTCAAAGCAAACATTGTTCCCAGTATGGTGGATATTTGTGAGAGGCATTGACATGTTGAAAGCACCGAGCTGTCTGTTTAAACGACTGGCACACAGCTCAGACACCCATGCATTCCCCACAAGACATGCCACCAGAGGTCTCTTCACAGTCCCCAAGTCCAGAACAGACTATGGGAGGCACACAGCACTACATAGAGCCATGACTACATGGAACTCTATTCCACATCAGGTAACTGATGCAAACAGATAAAAATACACCTTATGGAACAGCGGGGACTGTGAAGAGACACACACAAGGGTATAGACACATGCATACACACTATACACTATACACACACGTACACATGGATTTTGTGTTGTAGATATGTGGTAGTGGAGTATGGGCCTGAGGGCACACACTTAGTGTGTTGTGAATTCTGTAATGAATGTATTGTAATGTTTTAAAATTGTTATAACTGCCTTAATTTTGCCGGACCCCAGGAAGAGTAGCTGTTGCCTTGGCAGGAACTAATGGGGATCCATAATAAACCCCAGGAAGAGTAGCTGCTGCCTTGGCAGGAACTAATGGGGATCCATAATAAACCCCAGGAAGAGTAGCTGCTGCCTTGGCAGGAAACTAATGGGGATCCATAATAAACCCCAGGAAGAGTAGCTGCTGCCTTGGCAGGAAACTAATGGGGATCCATAATAAACCCCAGGAAGAGTAGCTGCTGCCTTGGCAGGAACTAATGGGGATCCATAATAAACCCCAGGAAGAGTAGCTGCTGCCTTGGCAGGAACTAATGGGGATCCATAATAAACCCCAGGAAGAGTAGCTGCTGCCTTGGCAGGAACTAATGGGGATCCATAATAAACCACAGGAAGAGTAGCTGCTGCCTTGGCAGGAACTAATGGGGATCGGTAATAAACCCCCAGGAAGAGTAGCTGCTGCTTTGGCAGGAACTAATGGGGATCCATAATAAACCCCAGGAAGAGTAGCTGCTGCCTTGGCAGGAACTAATGGGGATCCATAATAAACCCCAGGAAGAGTAGCTGCTGCCTTGGCAGGAACTAATGGGGATCCATAATTAACCCCAGGAAGAGTAGCTGCTGCCTTGGCAGGAACTAATGGGGATCCATAATAAACCCCAGGAAGAGTAGCTGCTGCCTTGGCAGGAACTAATGGGGATCCATAATAAACCCCAGGAAGAGTAGCTGCTGCCTTGGCAGGAACTAATGGGGATCCATAATAAACCCCCAGGAAGAGTAGCTGCTGCCTTGACAGGAACTAATGGGGATCCATAATAAACCCCAGGAAGAGTAGCTGCTGCCTTGGCAGGAACTAATGGGGATCCATAATAAACCCCAGGAAGAGTAGCTGCTGCCTTGGCAGGAACTAATGGGGATCTATAATAAACCCCAGGAAGAGTAGCTGCTGCCTTGGCAGGAACTAATGGGGATCCATAATAAACGTGGTCCTCTGTAGCTCAGCTGGTAGAGCACGGCGCTTGTAACGCCAAGGTAGTGGGTTCGATCCCCGGGACCACCCATACACACAAAAAAATGTATGCACGCATGACTGTAAGTCGCTTTGGATAAAAGCGTCTGCTAAATGGCATATTATTATTATTATATTATTATTATTATAAACCCCAGGAAGAGTAGCTGCTGCCTTGGCAGGAACTAATGGGGATCCATAATAAACCCCAGGAAGAGTAGCTGCTGCCTTGGCAGGAACTAATGGGGATCCATAATAAACCCCAGGAAGAGTAGCTGCTGCCTTGGCAGGAACTAATGGGGATCCATAATAAATAGATAGAAATATAATGGACTTTATTACCTCCATGGTGTAGTTTGTGTGCTTGTTGTCGAAGATGAGAGCTTCCTGAATCAGCTGGTGGTCTCCCTCCAATTGGTCGATCTTTGGCTTGTAGTTGACAATGTTCTTCTCGTATTGGCGGAGGTGGGTCAGCTGATCCTCCAGGGTTCCGTGCATCTCGATGGAGATACGACCAATCTCCTACAGACAGAGAAACATGGAGGAGGAGGGGGGTTCAGCAAAAACCAACTGGAGAACCGTGTAGCTCAGTTGGTAGAGCATGGCGCTTGCAACGCCAGGGTTGTGGGTTCGATTCCCACGGGGGGACCAGTATGAAAAATGTATGCACTCACTAACTGTAAGTCTCTCTGGATAAGAGCGTCTGCTAAAATGACTAAAATGTAGAATAGAGAGAATGTTTGAGTTAAACCATTCTGCTGAGTATGAAAACATCCATAGGAGAGGGAGGGTTAAAACCCAACTGGAGAGACTTGAGACTAGAGAACAGAAACTGTTTGAATTGGTTTGTGAAAAACAGGCATGAGAACAAAGAACCAAAACTGCTCTCGTCTGTCTCCTACCGGTCATCATCTCACCTCTAACCCGGGCCCCAGGCTGACCGCTCCTATCTAAACCAGCACCTCTCTCTGAGACCCTATGAGGTGGCACACTTTTTCATTGTGGTCCTTCCAGCCGGATGGCAGGGTCTGGTAATATGAGATGTGGGTTGTACAGCCAGGATACCAGTGTTGTAGTCAAGTCACTAAACCTCAAGTCCAAGTCCAGTCACAGGTCCCTAGCATTCAGAGTCCTTTATTCTGAGTGCAAGTCCAGTCACAGGTCCCTAGCATTCAGAGTCCTTTATTCTGAGTCCAAGTCCAGTCACAGGTCCCTAGCATTCAGAGTCCTTTATTCTGAGTCCAAGTCCAGACTACAACATTACAGGACATTACAGTGCAGTGTTCTGATATTGATGAAAATCCCTCAAAGGAACCTTTGGAGACAGTAAGTTCTAATACCAGTACTAATGGTAATCTCTGCTCTGCTCTGCCTGGACTTTGGACCATAGAAAAATAATTAATAGAACATTCTGGTTCTCTACTCTGGGTCACCTCCATTTTGGTTTGGATCCAGGGCCCGACGACGTTGGCCTGGTTGGGTTAGGGGTAAAGGTTAGAGCTCAGGGGGTTAGGTCTAGGAGAAAGTGTGTGGACTGACCTCCATCTTGGTCTGGATCCAGGGCCCGATGACGTTGGCCTGGTTGGCGAACTGCCTGCGGAGACGCTCGTTGTTCTGCTGCCGGGCGTGCTCTTCGATCAGAGCCTGGTCCCTCTGGGGCACCAGCTGTCTCACCTGGGGGGGGGGGGGGGTGACAGACAAGGGGACAAACACCTAGTTAGAGCCATGATGGCTCGTTTTATCTCACCCTCTGCTACCTAAGTACCAGCTCTACCTAGGTCACCTGGTGAGGTTTAACACCCGGACACTAGATGGTACAGTATTAAAAAATGTATGCACTCACTAACTGTAAGTCGCTCTGGATAAGAGCATCTGCTAAATGACTAAAATGTAAAATGTACCTAGGTCACCTGGTGAGGTTTAACACCCGATGCGATGCTAATAAGTCCAGGAATCCTCCAACTAGGATTTCTGGAGAACCTTTTGGGAGTGTTACCGGACTCTAGTTGCTAATGTACCTTGTCCCACTTGGCGTTGATCTCCTGAGGGTTGATGGTGGTGTAGGGGTTGGTGCCGGCCATGTTCACATGGTAGGTGGCCACTATCTTGGCGATCTCATTGTGAATGCCCAGGATGGCACCGCGTTCCTTATCCGCCTCAGGGAGAGTGGCTTTAAACTGCTCATGGGCTGTACTGAGACCCTGGGAGGGAAAAGAGAGAGAGATACACAGGCATACACACACACACACACACACACACACACACATACACACACACACACACACAACGGCACACACACACCGGCATACACACACACACACACACACCCCACCTACACACACACCACCACACACACAGGCATACACACAACAGGCTACACACACAAAAAAGGCTACACACACACACACACACACACACACACACACACACCACCCACAGTCACCCCACACACACCACACACACACACACCCCACACACACACACAGGCACACACACACACACCAACCCACACACACCCATCATACACACAGGCACCACACCACACAACACACACACACACACCCACACACACACCCCACACAGCACACACACACACACACCACACACACACAACACAGCATACCACACAGCACCCCACACACACACAACACACACACACACAGGCATACAACGACACACACCACACAAAGGGACCACAGCACAAACACACACACACACACACACAAACACAAACACACCCCCACACACACAAGTCATACACACAGGCAAAACAACACACAACACACACACACCACACAGTACACACACCCCACACACACACACACCAGGAAACACACAAAACACACAAAACACCAAAACACACCCAAAACACACACACAGCATCACACCAACACACACACACACACACACACACACAACCACACAGCATACACACCACAAAACACACACACACACACACACACAACACACAAACACACCACGGCATACACACACACACCACACACCCCACACAGGCATACACACACACCACACACACACACAGCATGCACAAAACACACCACACACCACACACACACAAGTTCATACACAAGGCATACACACACACACACACACACAACAGGCATACACACACACAACACACACAACACACACACAGGCATTACACAAACAAAACACACCACACAGGCATACACAAACACACAACAGGCATACACACAACACAGGCATACACACCACAACACACACAGGAGTACACACACACACACACACGCATACACACACACACACACACACAGGCATACACAAACGCACACACACAGGCATACACAACCGCACACACACGATCAAAACATGCCAAGAATTGTGTTTTTAAATCTGTGTGTGTGTGTGTATGTGCGCTAACCTGAATCTCCTCTATGGTGTGGACGATGAAGGTGTCCTGCAGGTCCTCCATGGCGCCCTCCATCCAGTTGTTGAACGGAGCAGCTCGTTTGGCAAACTCGAGATATAACTGGTCTATGGTCTCCAGAAGCTTCTCAGTTCTCTGTTTCAGACACACAGAGAGAGAGAGAGAGAGAGAGAAAGAAAACAGTCGGTGCATTGTTAGGCTGGGAGCAAGAAGAAAGTGAATTGACTGCATTGAACACAAGGACATCAGATGAGAATGACCTATGTAGCTCAAAGCTGGGGCAATGTTTATAGTACATGGTCCCAGTCAAATAAATGAATCAAATATTTAATATAGTCAGTATTGGACAGCCATTCCTTTGAGCCCGTCTGAGGGGCTTGGGCCCTGGCCTCCTTCAGTACCTGCAGGGCCTCGCTTCGTTTCTGGGTCAGGGCTCCTAGGGCATCCCATTGGTCGCATATCCTCTGGCATCGAGCATTCACACTGGGGGAGTCATAGTAGTCTAGCTCACTGGGGGACAAGACAGAGAGACGTTATAACAGCCCTATAACCACGTTATAACCGCCCTATAACCACGTTATAACAGCCCTATAACCACGTTATAACCACTATAACCACGTTATAACAGCCCTATAACCACCACGTTATAACAGCCCTATAACCACGTTATAACCACTATAACCACGTTATAACAGCCCTATAACCACCACGTTATAACAGCCCTATAACCACGTTATAACAGCCCTATAACCACGTTATAACCACTATAACCACGTTATAACAGCTCTATAACCACCACGTTATAACAGCCCTATAACCACCATGTTATAACAGCCCTATAACCACGTTATAACCACTATAACCACGTTATAAAGCCTATAACCACCACGTTATAACCATCCCTATAACCCACCGTTTATAACAGCCCTATACACGTTATAAACAGCCCTATACCACCAGTTATAACCAGCCCTATAACCACCATGTTCTATACAGCCCTTAACCACGTTATAACAGCCCTATAACCACGTTATAACCACTATAACCACGTTATAACAGCCCTATAACCACGTTATAACAGCCCTATAACCACCACGTTATAACAGCCCTATAACCACCATGTTTATAAACAGCCCTATACCACCACGTTATAACAGCCCTATAACCACACGTTATAACAGCTCTATAACCACCAGTTATAACACCCTATAACCACGTTTTATAACCCACTATACACCACGTTATAACAGCCCTATAACCACGTTATAACAGCCCTATAACCACCACGTTATAACAGCCCTATAACCACCATGTTATAACAGCCCTATACACACGTTATAACCATATAACCACGTTATAAAAACGCCCTATAACGCCCACGTATAACAGCCCTATTAACCACGTTATAACAGCCCTATAACCACGTTATAAACCCCTATACCACCACGTTATAACAGCCCTATAACCACCATGTTATAACAGCCCTATAACCACGTTAGAACAAGCCGCTATAACCACGTTATAACCACTATAACCACGTTATAACAGCCCTAATAACCACGTTATAACAGCCCTATAACCACCACGTTATAACAGCCCTATAACCACCATGTTATAACAGCCCTATAACCACGTTATAACAGCCCTATAACCACCACGTTATAACAGCTCTATAACCACCATGTTATAACAGCCCTATAACCACGTTATAACCACTATAACCACGTTATAACAGCCCTATAACCACGTTATAACAGCCCTATAACCACCACGTTATAACAGCCCTATAACCACCATGTTATAACAGCCCTATAACCACCACGTTATAACAGCCCTATAACCACCACGTTATAACAGCCCTATAACCACCATGTTATAACAGCCCTATAACCACCATGTTATAACAGCCCTATAACCACGTTATAACCACTATAACCACGTTATAACAGCCCTATAAAACCACGTTATAACCCACTATAAACACGTTATACCAACCGCCCTATAATCACTTATAGCACTATAACCACGTTATAACAGCCCTATAACCACGTTATAACAGCCCTATAACCACGTTATAACAGCCCTATAACCACGTTATAACCACTATAACACGTTATAACCGCCCTATAATCACGTTATAAGCACTATAACCACGTTATAACAGCACTATAACCACGTTATAACAGCCCTATAACCACGTTATAACAGCTCTATAACCACGTTATAACAGCCCTATAACCACGTTATAACCACTATAACCACGTTATAACAGCCCTATAACCACGTTATAACCACTATAACACGTTATAACCGCCCTATAATCACGTTATAAGCACTATAACCACGTTATAACAGCACTATAACCACGTTATAACAGCCCTATAACCACGTTATAACAGCCCTATAACCACCACGTTATAACAGCCCTATAACCACCATGTTATAACAGCCCTATAACCACCATGTTATAACCACTATAACCACGTTATAAGCACTATAACCACATTATAACAGCCCTATAACCATGTTATAACATCCCTATAACCACGTTATAAACAGCCCTATAACCAACACGTTATACCGCCCTATAACCACCCATGTTATAAACAGCCCTATAACCCCATGTTTATACAGCCCTATAACCACGTTATAACAGCCCTATAACCACCATGTTATAACAGCCCTATAACCACCATGTTATAACAGCCCTATAACCACCATGTTATAACAGCCCTATAACCACCATGTTATAACAGCCCTATAACCACGTTATAACAGCCCTATAACCACGTTATAACAGCCCTATAACCACGTTATAACAGCTCTATAACCACGTTATAACAGCTCTATAACCACGTTATAACAGCCCTATAACCACGTTATAACCACTATAACCACGTTATAACAGCCCTATAACCACGTTATAACCACTATAACACGTTATAACCGCCCTATAATCACGTTATAAGCACTATAACCACGTTATAACAGCACTATAACCACGTTATAACAGCCCTATAACCACGTATAACAGCCCTATAACCACGTTAAAAACACAATATAAACCGCCCTATAATCACGTTATAGCACTATAACCACGTTATAAACGCACTATAAACAACGTTATAACAGCCCTATAAACCACGTTATAAACAGCCTATAACCACGTTATAACAGCTCTATAACCACGTTATAAACAGCTCTATAAACACGTATAAACAGCCCTATAAACCACAATTATAAACCACTATAACCACGTTATAAAAAACACGCCCTATAACCACGTTTATAACAACTATAACACGTTTATAACCGCCCCTATAAATCACGTATAGCACTATAACCACGTTATAACAGCCCTAATAACCCCGTTATAACAGCCCTAATCACCAAGTATAACAGCCCTATAACCACCATGGTTAGTAAACCGCCCTAGAACCAACTTATAACCACTATAACCACGTTATAAGCACTATAACCACGTTATAACAGCCCTATAACCATGTTATAACAGCCCTATAACCACGTTATAACAGCCCTATAACCACCACGTTATAACAGCCCTATAACCACCATGGTATAACAGCCCTATAACCACCATGTTATAACAGCCCTATAACCACGTTATAACAGCCCTATAACCATGTTATAACAGCCCTATAACCACGTTATAACAGCCCTATAACCACGTTATCAACAGCCCTATAACCACCATGTTATAAACCACTATAACCACGTTATAACAGCCCTATAACACGTTATAACAGCACCTATAACCGTTTTATAACAAGCCCTATAACCACCATGTGATAACAGGCCCCTATCCACCACGTTATAACAGCCCTATAACCACGTTATAACAGCCCTAAACCACGTTATAAACAGCCTATACCATGTTATAACAGCCCTATAACCACGTTATAAACAGCCCTATAACCATGTTATAAACCACTATAACCATGTTATAAGCCCTATAACCACCATGTTTTTAACAGCCCTATAACCATGTTAAACAGCCCTATAACCATGGGTTTTAACCACTATAACCATGTTATAACAGCCCTATAACCACTTATAACAGTTATAAACAGCCCTATAACCACTATAACATTTATACAGCCCTATAACCATGTATAACAGCCCTATAACCCCCGTTAAACCCCTATAACCAATGTTATAACAGCCCTATAACCACCATGTTATAACAGCCCTATAACCATGTTATAACAGCCCTATAACCATGTTATAACCACTATAACCATGTTATAACAGCCCTATAACCACTATAACATGTTATAACAGCCCTATAACCACTATAACATGTTATAACAGCCCTATAACCATGTTATAACAGCCCTATAACCACTATAACATGTTATAACAGCCCTATAACCATGTTATAACACCCTATAACCACTGTATAAAAGCCCTATAACCATGTTATAACAGCTCTATAACCATGTTATAACAGCCCTATAACCACGTTATAACAGCCCTATAACCACGTTATAACAGCTCTATAACCACGTTATAACAGCCCTATAACCACGTTATAACAGCCCTATAACCATGTTATAACCACTATAACCATGTTATAACAGCCCTATAACCACGTTATAACAGCCCTCCTATAACCATGTTATAACAGCCCTATAACCATGTTATAACAGCCCTATAACCATGTTATAACAGCCCTCCTATAACCATGTTATAACAGCCCTATAACCACGTTATAACAGCCCTCCTATAACCATGTTATAACAGCCCTATAACCATGTTATACCATCCCCTTTGTAAAGATAGTGGAGGAAAGATAGCGATTGAAACTGCCAAACAACCCTGTGAGTGTGCACAGATTTTCTAATTGGACAGTTAGATGATTGTTACTACTGTGGTTATCTGTTTTGCCGTTATTGATCTCTTACAAAGTATACCTCCCTCCCTCCCTCCCTCCCTCCCTCCTTTAACTCCTATGCGATGGCTGCTATCTGCTCCACTCTGTCCTGGTGAGCGGGCAGATCACTGTACACCCCTCCACCCCTCCCTCCATCCCTCCCTCCACCCATCCCTCTTTAATTTAACTCCCTCCCTCCCTCTCTCCCTCCCTCCCCCCTTACTTTAACTCCTGTGCGATGGCAGCTATCTGCTCTACGCGGTCCTGGTGCGCAGCCAGGTCGCTCTCGAAGGCCTCATGTTTCTTCAGCAGAGCCTTGATCTCAGACAGAGAGGCCGTCTCAAAGTCCCGCGCCTGCAGCATCTCCTCCTTACCTGCAGGGGGAGACGGAGACACACATCACACATCAATATAAAGGGCCAATAGAAAATTGATAAAGTAAGTACACTAATACAGAATCTACAGTATGTTGAACAAAACCAGATAAAAGAGGACATGATACATGTTTAATGTAATGCACACAGTGATCTTAAATTCCATATCAAATCATTTATGGGTAAAAATTAAAGGGGCAATCTGCAGTTTCTACTGTACATCCAGTTTTGGACGTATAAATTAATGATGTGTACTCATTGATTCTTGATAAATATAACTTAGAAATGTCTCATGAGCTAAGTTCAACTGGCGTACCCCATCAGAACCCAAAATAGAAGCTTGTTTTTACTTCAATGTTTGTAAACAAAGTAAATGTAAACAAACAGTGTATAGTCCTTATCTGTTTAATGGACCTACTGTAAGTAGCCTACACACAGCCGAGACAGAAAGATGGATGTGGTCAGAGACCCACTAAAGCAGCACCGCCCCCTCAAGTTTCTGAGCCTGCCTGTCAGGGTTGGTCCTATAAAGCCAGAGCCCCCGGGTGGGAGAGCATTATATACAAGGAAATTCTCAAAGCTGCTAATGAGAACCTTGACGACCTTTTACCTAGCCGGTGGGGATTCCGGTGGGGTGCCCCCACCCAGGTAGTGGCAGTGCTGGCAACACTGGCTGCAGTAACCCATGGGGAGGGGGTCACACTCGGACAATCGGAGAAGGGGGCATATTATTGTGGCCCTGGTGGCACAAAATAATCAAAAGGTCTGACTGCACGGAGATGCTTGGGAAAATGGTTACAACGGGGGACCAGCGTGTGTGTGTTTCAGGGGAAGGGGGTGGATCTGATCTCCATCACTTAGGAATTGACAATGGTTCATCAAATCTTCCAATTTTGCCAGTTTTTGCTAAAATAATAATTGCTTGCCAAAAATGTAATTTTTGTGATGGTTAGAGGTAACAATCCTTTGCATGACCTGCCTACATTTTTACGAATATTATTTGTTAATTATGGAAAATAGGATAAACAGGATTTTTTATATATTTATTTATATATATATATATATATTATATATATTTTTTATATACAGTACCAGTCAAAGGTTTGGACACACCTACTCATTCAAGGGTTTTTCTTTATTTTTACTATTTTCTACATTGTAGAATAATAGTGAAGACATCAAAACTCATGTAGTAACCAAAAAAGTGTTAAACAAATCTAAATATATTTTATATTTGAGATTCTTCAAATAGCCACCCTTTGCCTTGACAGCTTTGCACACTCTTGGCATTCTCTCAACCAGCTTCACCTGGAAAGCTTTTCCAACAGTCTTGAAGTTGTTCCCACATATGCTGAGCACTTGTTGGCTGCTTTTCCTTCACTCTGCGGTCCGACTCATCCCAAACCATCTCAATTGGGTTGAGATCGGGGGATTGTGGAGGCCAGGTCATCTGATGCAGCACTCCATCACTCTCCTTCATGTTAAATAGCCCTTACACAGCCTGGAGGTGTGTTGGGTCATTGTCCTGTTGAAAACCAAATTATTGTCCCGCTAAACCCAATCCAGATGGGATGGCGTATCGCTGCAGAATGCTGTGGTAGCCATGCTGGTTATGTGTGCCTTGAATTCTATATAATCAGTCAGTGTCACCAGCAAAGCACCCCCACACCATAACACCTCCTCCTCTATGCTTTACGGTGGGAAATTCACATGCAGAGATCATCCGTTCACCCACACCGCGTCTCACAAAGACATGGCGGTTGGAACCAAAAATCTCCAATTTGGACTCCAGATCAAAGGACACATTTCCACCAGTCTAATGTCCATTGCTCGTGTTTCTTGGCCCAAGCAAGTCTCTTCTTCTTATTGGTGTCCTTTAGTAGTGGTTTCTTTGCTGCAATTCGACCATGAAGGCCTGATTCACACAGTCTCCTCTGAACAGTTGATGTTGAGATGTGTCTGTGACTTGAACTCTGTGAAGCATTTATTTGGGCTGCAATTTCTGAGGCTGGTAACTCTAATGAACTTATCCTCTGCAGCAGAGGTAAACTCTGGGTCTTCCATTCCTGTGGCGGGTCCTCATGAAAGCCAGTTTCATCATAGCGCTTGATGTTTTTTGCGACTGCACTTGAAGAAACTTTCAAAGTTCTTGAAATGTTCCGTATTGACTGACCTTCATGTCTTAACGTAATAATGGCCTGTTGTTTCTCTTTTCTTATTTGAGCTGTTCTTGCCATAATATGGACTTGGTCTTTTACCAAATAGGGCTATCTTCTGTATACCACCCCTACCTTGTCACAACACAACTGATTGGCTCAAACGCATTAAGAAGGAAAGAAATTCCACAAATTAACTTTTAAGAAGGCACACCTGTTAATTGAAATGCATTCCAGGTGACTACCTCATGAAGCTGGTTGAGAGAATGCCAAGAGTGTGCAAAGCTGTCATCGAGGCAAAGGGTGGCTATTTGAAGAATCTCAAATCTAAAATATATTTTGATTTGTTTAACACTTTTTTGGTTACTACATGTTCCATACATGTTATTTAATAGTTTCGATGTCTTCACTATTATTCTACAATGTAGAACATAGTAAAAATATTGAAAAACCCTTGAATTAATAGGTGTGTCCAAACTTTTGACTGGTACTGTATATATAAATATATTGACCCCAAAAAAATATATGGGGGATTGGAAATGATGCGGACAATTACGTTGATGGAAGCCACAATCTATCTGCAATATTAAAGCTGATCTACTCTCTAAAAAAATTAATAATAAATACAAATATAACACTATATATTCTCAAAACATGGTTAAAACTAAAATGTTGATATCATGGATGATCAGTCCTTAAATCCATAGCTATGTATATGAATTGGCGAGTGGCCGAAACAGTGGCGAGGAAGAGTTTTGTTATTGTTTTAACTGCGGATTGCCCCTTAAGGTCACTTATAATGTTTGTTTTCAATTAAAATGATCAAAAGGAAATAGAAGTGCTTAGCCTTGCTCTGGTACCTTCAGTCCAGGTTTCGTGGATGGCTGCTTTCTGCCTAAACTTCTCGGCCAGGTGGTCGAGTCTCTCCAAGCCGACGGATCTCGTTGAGGAGCCACTCCTCATAACCCTTCTCCGCCCCCTCCAGACCGCCCCACGCGTTAGAGACGTCCTGCACAGAAATAGAGTTGGACCTCGGCTTGTGCTGCTAAAGAATATAGAAACTTAAAAACTTAAAGAATATTTCAGTGAGTTGCAGGTTTTCCCTTTTCCCAGTTTCTACTGAACTAGACAACTGTAACCACCACCAAACGGATCCACATCATCATCAATCAGCAGCGTGGTAGACGAGAAGCATGTGAGACAAGAGAGAGGAAAGAAGGGTAGAGAAATGATTAGAAAAAGATGGCTTGCTCTCTCTTTTCTCTCTCGCTCTCTTCTCTCCCCTATCTCCTATCCTTCTCTCTCTCTTCTGCTCTCCGTCTCTCTCTTTTCTCGTCTCTCCTCTCTCTCTCTCCTCTCCTCTCTCTCTTCTCTCTTTCTCTCTCTTTCTCTCTCTCTCCTCTCTCTCTCGCTCCTCTCCCTCCTCTCCCTCTCTTTCTCTCTCTCTTCATTCTCTCTCTCTCTCTCCCTCACTTTGCTAGCTAGGGGTCGAGAGCGAGACATCCGAGAAGAATACGAGAGTTGGGGGGGCGATCATAAGACAGCAAGAGGAGAGTTAGAGAGCTAGAAGAGAGAGGTGGGTAGAGAGAGAGAGTTAGATAGATAAGAGAGAGAGAGAGAGAGAGAGATTAATAGGGAGCGAGCAGAGAGGTATGTGTTTAGTGCACTATGTAGTATACCAACTAGGCTACATACTGACACCATCTTCCCCTCAGAAGGCATGAAGGCAGGCCTGTTGCTCAGCCTCAGCTTGGTCTGCAGGGTGTTGAAGTTAATCTCCAGCTGGCACTTCTCCTGGACCTTAATATCATAGTAAAAACACACATCATTTAACAGTCAACACTTGCATACATTTTTCGTATTATTATTAAACCGTTGTCTCTTTTAAAAGGTCAACCCTCCTTCATACAACACAAAATACAGAATAAGGAATTAGTGACACGATTATAACAATCCAAGTGGGCGTTGGCCCCCAGCGGGAATCAAACCTTGGGGGTTTGTGTTGGCGGCGATAGTCCCTGAAGTCCTCCAGCTTCTGCTGCATAGCCTGCATGGTGTTCTCTGGGGCACGGTTCTCCAGCCAGGGGATGGTGCGACGGATCCACTCCAAGAGCTGTGATTCAGGGAGAGGGGACAGACAGTGCAGGTATAATGGGGCAGCAAGGGCAAACAAGGAGTGGTAAAGGTGAGGTTAAAACAATGAGAAAGGGAATGGAGAGAGAGAGAGAGAGAGCGCGAGAGAGCGAGAGAGAGAGAGAGAGAGAGAGTGAAAGAGTGAAAGAGACAGAGAGAGAGAAAGAAAGAACGAAAGACAGAGAGAAAGAGAGAGAGAGAGAGAGAGAGAGAGAGAATGTTGTTACTAATAGTGAATAACTAATGTATTTAGCACAGTCAGAAAGTAGGAAGCTAATTCATTGAGCACAATTCTACCTGCTGTTCTCATTTGTTAGCCTGGACCCAGATATGTTTGTGGTATCATTCCACCCACTCCTTATCATGCTAAACATGACAAGGAGTTTCAAGGAGTGGCATGATGGCACAAACAGATCTGGTACCCAGGCTACTCATTTTGTGCCTTTACACTTATCATATTTCTGATACTTGGTTGTCCTCCTAAACATATTGTATATTTCTGATACTTGGTTGTCCTCCTAAACATATTGTTGTATATATCTGATACTTGGTTATCATTCTAAACATAGTGTTGTATATTTATTATACTTGGTTGTCATCCTAAACATATTGTTGTATATTTCTGATACTTGGTGGACATCCTAAACATATTGTTGTATATATCTGATACTTGGTTGTCACCCTGAACATCGTGTCACCTGTGTGGTGTGACCTGGTGAGGTCTGAGTCTCTACGGTCTCTACACTGTCATAGCAACAAGCCTCTGGACTGGGAGAAGGAGGAGGAGGAGGTGAGGGGAGCAGGGAGAGGAGAGGAGGTGGTGAGGGGAGCAGGGAGAGGGGGCAGAGAGGTGGGAGAGAGGGTGGTGCAGGGACATTAAGGGGAGGAGGACAGAGGAGGGACAGAGGGCTCACATCACTAGCCAGCTTCTCGTAGTCCTCCATCAGCTGCTCATTCTCCTGGTTCACAGCCAACACCTTGCAGATCCGATTGGCCGCTGTCTCCGCCTGGGGGAGGAACAGGAAGGAATACGTTATATCATCACCATGGGAACTGTTACAGTAGTCAGTGAGTTAGACATGACATGGCTGCATTGCAGAATCAAGCTAAAATAATATCTAGATATCTAAACCTATCTCTCTAGATACCTGTCTATCTAGATATCTAACTATTTCTCGCTCTCTATCTAGATATCTAACTCTCTTTCTCTCTCTCTCTAGATACCTAACTGTCTATCTAGATCTCTCTCTCTCTCTAGCTATCATCTATCTAGATATCTCTCTCTCTCTAGCTATCATCTATCTAGATATCACTCTCTCTCTAGCTATCATCTATCTAGATATCTCTCTCTCTCTAGCTATCATCTATCTAGATATCTCTCTCTCTCTTAGCTATCATCTATCTAGATATCTCTCTCTCTCTAGCTATCATCTATCTAGATATCTCTCTCTCTCTCTAGCTATCATCTATCTAGATATCTCTCTCTCTCTAGCTATCATCTATCTAGATATCCTCTTCTCTCTAGCTATCATCTATCTAGATATCCTCTCTCTCTCTAGCTATCATCTATCTAGATATCTCTCTCTCTCTCTAGCTATCATCTATCTAGATATCTCTCTCTCTCTCTAGCTATCATCTATCTAGATATCTCTCTCTCTCTAGCTATCATCTATCTAGATATCTCTCTCTCTCTAGCTATCTCTCTCTCTCTCTCTAGCTATCATCTATCTAGATATATCTCTCTCTAGCTATCATCTATCTAGATATCTCTCTCTCTCTAGCTATCATCTATCTAGATATATATCTCTCTCTAGCTATTATCTATCTAGATATCTCTCTCTCTCTAGCTATCATCTATCTAGATATCTCTCTCTCTAGCTATCATCTATCTAGATATCTCTCTCTCTCTCTCTAGCTATCATCTATCTAGATATATCTCTCTCTCTCTAGCTACCATATATCTAGATATCTCTCTCTCTCTCTCTCTTTCTACCTATATGTTTCTATCTCTTCATCAGAGTTAGTACAACAGACGAGTGGGCTAGCGAGGTACACATAGCTCTCCTAGATATACTGGGTATTACAATAGAAATAGGACGAAGCCACTTCAACATATGGGTTTATCCGTTCTAGTAAATGTAATTATATCAGGGTGGACCCCAGAGAGATACCGTACACAGGCATTAGGCACAGCCAAGGACACAGATGTGTGCGTGTCCTAGGGCAGGGGTTCCCAAAATATCCCGCGCCCCCCATGCACGCGCACGCACCCGCCACGCCACCCAACCAAATCATGAGAAAACTAAAAGATAATGACTTGACACATTGGAAAGAATTAACAAAAAAACAGCGCAAACTAGAATGCTATTTGCCCCTAAACAATACAAAATCAGCAGGGGATCAAATACTTTTTTCCCTCACTGTAGTGTCCAGTCATAATAATATGAATAATATAATATGCCATTTAGCAGACGCTTTTATCCAAAGCGATTTACAGTCGTGTGTGCATACATCATCTGATGTAATTCTGGTTTTTATATAGTGTTTTTTCCCTCACTGTATATAGTGTCCAGTCTTCTGATGTAAGATGACTTTCACATCACCACATGCTGCTCATACTATTCCCTTGTGTCCCAAATGGCACCCTATTCCCTACATAGTGCACTACTTTAGACCACGGCCTATTGGGCTCCGGTCAAGTGCACTATGTAGGGAATATGGTGCCATTTGGGATGCCGACCCCTGTACACCCTTCTAATCTTCTCCTTGTCCACGCCATAGTAAAGACAGGCAGTGACTGCGTCCTCGCTTCCAATTAGAAACACATCATCTTTTTTCCATCTTTTAAACACAGCTGGTCTCTCTGCCTGCCTGCTGCAATGTGTGTGTGTGTGCGTGCGTGCGTGCGTGTGTGTGTGTGTGTGTGTGTGTGTGTGTGTGTGTGCTGTAATGTGTGTGTGTGTGTGCTGCAATGTGGTGTGGTGTGTGGTGCTGCAATTTTGTGTGTGTGTGTGTGTGTGTGGCTGAGTGGGTGTGGTGTGCGTGGTGTGGGGTGTGGTGTGGTGTGTGGGTGGGTGTGTGCTGAATGGTGGTTTTGTGTGTGGTGCTGCAATGTGGTTGTGTGTGTGTGGTGTGCTGCAATGTGTGTGTGTGTGTGTGTGTGTGTGTGCATGGTGTGTGTGTGTGTGTGTGTGTGTGTGGTGTGTGTGCGTGTGTGTGAGTGTGTGTGTGTGTGTGTGATCTGTAATGGGTGTGGTGTGGTGTGTGTGACTGAATGTGTGTGTGGTGTGTGTGTGGTGTGATGTATGGAGTGGTGTGTGGCGTGTGTGTGGTGTGTGTGTGTGTGTGTGTGTGTGGTGTGTGTGTGTGTGTGTGTGCAAGCGTGTGTGTGTGGTGGGGTGTGTGTGTGTGTGTGTGTGTGTGTGTGTGTGGTGTGGTGTGTGTGGTGTTGTGTGCGGTAGTGTGTGTGGTGTGTGTGTGTGTGCTGCTTAATGTGTGTGTGTGTGTGTGGTGTGTGCGTGTGTGTGTGTGTGTGTGTGTGGTGTGTGTGTGTGTGTGCGTGTTGTGTGTGTGTGTGCTGCAATGTGCTCTTCTGTTCTGGTCTGCTCGTCTTCTCTCCAGTGAAATGACCTCATATAACTGCAGCCCTCTCCTCTGTGCTCCTCTCAGTTATCAGAGAAGAAGAAATGGAACACACGCTTAACAGAATCTTGTTTCTAGATGTACCACACACTAGGAAGTCCTCATCTTACTCTGAGACAATCATCTAACATTGTGGAGACTAAGGGTGTCACACGTACACAACATCTATGTGTTGAGATCCAATTAAAAACACCACCCAACTCAAATCACAATGTTTTAGCATAGAGATAGAGACAACAACCACTGTAGGAACAACCAGTGGATCTCACACAGTACAACTATGTCTCATATCTAGATCACATCTATTTAGAGATTCAATGAAAACATGACCCACTCAAAGGTGACCGTCACCAGTACACATTGGTGGTAGCTGAGGTGAGGTGAGTTTATCCCCCCTTGCAACGTAAAGTGATTTGAGCGTCTGTCTGGAGACTGGCTGGTCTGACTGGAGACTGGCTGGAGACTGACTGGTCTGACTGGAGACTGACGGGAGACTGACTGGAGACTGGCTGGAGTCTGGCTGGTCTGACTGGAGACTGGCGGGAGACTGACTGGTCTGACTGGAGACTGGCTGGAGACTGACTGGTCTGACTGACTGGAGACTGGCTGGAGTCTGGCTGGTCTGACTGGAGACTGGCTGGAGACTGACTGGTCTGACTGACTGGAGACTGGCTGGAGTCTGGCTGGTCTGACTGACTGGAGACTGGCTGGTCTGACTGGAGACTGGCTGGAGACTGACTGGTCTGACTGACTGGAGACTGGCTGGTCTGACTGGAGACTGGCTGGAGTCTGGCTGGTCTGACTGACTGGAGACTGGCTGGAGACTGACTGGTCTGACTGGAGACTGGCTGGAGACTGACTGGTCTGACTGGAGACTGACTGGTCTGACTGGAGACTGGCTGGAGACTGACTGGTCTGACTGACTGGAGACTGGCTGGTCTGACTGGAGACTGACTGGAGACTGACTGGAGACTGACTGGTCTGACTGGAGACTGACTGGTCTGACTGGAGACTGGCTGGAGACTGGCGGGAGACTGGCTGGTCTGACTGGAGACTGACTGGTCTGACTGGAGACTGACTGGTCTGACTGGAGACTGGTTGGAGACTGACTGGTCTGACTGACTGGAGACTGGCTGGTCTGACTGGAGACTGACTGGTCTGACTGGAGACTGACTGGTCTGACTGGAGACTGGCTGGAGACTGACTGGTCTGACTGGAGACTGGCTGGAGACTGACTGGTCTGACTGACTGGAGACTGGCTGGTCTGACTGGAGACTGGCTGGAGACTGGCTGGAGACTGGCGGGAGACTGGCTGGTCTGACTGGAGACTGGCTGGAGACTGACTGGTCTGACTGACTGGAGACTGGCTGGAGACTGACTGGTCTGACTGGAGACTGACTGGTCTGACTGGAGACTGACTGGTCTGACTGGAGACTGGCTGGAGACTGACTGGTCTGACTGACTGGAGACTGGCTGGAGACTGACTGTTCTGACTGACTGGAGACTGGCTGGTCTGACTGGAGTCTGGCTGGAGACTGACTGGTCTGACTGACTGGAGACTGGCTGGAGACTGACTGTTCTGACTGACTGGAGACTGACTGGTCTGACTGGAGACTGGCTGGAGACTGACTGGTCTGACTGACTGGAGACTGGCTGGAGACTGACTGTTCTGACTGACTGGAGACTGGCTGGTCTGACTGGAGACTGACTGGTCTGACTGGAGACTGGCTGGAGACTGGCGGGAGACTGGCTGGTCTGACTGGAGACTGACTGGTCTGACTGGAGACTGACTGGTCTGACTGGAGACTGACTGGTCTGACTGGAGACTGGCTGGAGACTGACTGGTCTGACTGGAGACTGGCTGGAGACTGACTGGTCTGACTGACTGGAGACTGGCTGGTCTGACTGGAGACTGGCTGGAGACTGGCTGGAGACTGGCGGGAGACTGGCTGGTCTGACTGGAGACTGGCTGGAGACTGACTGGTCTGACTGACTGGAGACTGGCTGGAGACTGACTGGTCTGACTGGAGACTGACTGGTCTGACTGGAGACTGACTGGTCTGACTGGAGACTGACTGGTCTGACTGGAGACTGGCTGGAGACTGACTGGTCTGACTGACTGGAGACTGGCTGGAGACTGACTGGTCTGACTGACTGGAGACTGGCTGGAGACTGGCTGGTCTGACTGACTGGAGACTGTCTGGAGACTGGCCTGGCTGGTCTGACTGGTCTGACTGGCTGGCTGGTGCCGTTATCATAGCAACAGAGACAAAGTAGTATTTTCCCATCATACATATGGAGGTGTGAAACTGTGAACCATGCAGAAAGAGGAAGAGGGTGACCGGCGCCCCCTGTGGGGCGAGGTGAGGCGGTGCACTGCAGAGAGAAGGGTTAGGGTTAGATGAGACAGACAGACGGATAAACGGACAGACACACGGAAACACGGAAAGACAGACAGACAGACAGACAGACAGGGGAGCAGGGACCGAACCAGGGGAGTGGTGGAGTGAGGTGAGGAGGAGGGGGAGCGTTGCATCCTGGGATACCTTTTGAGCACCAGAGAAGGCGTGGTAGAAGCTAGATACGTAGGTCATGATGGCCTTCTCATCCGGGCGGGCCGTGCCCACGATGTCTGTGGAGAGATGGATGGGGGGGATGGAGGGATGGGGGGGATGGAGGGAGGAGAAGAGGAGGATGGGGAGGGGGTTGGGGAGGAAAGAGGATGGGGGAGGGGGTTGGGGAGGAAGGAGGAAGGAGGAGGGGGTTGGGGATGGAGGAGGGGGTTGGGGAGGAGAGGAGAGGAGGAGGATGGGGGAGGGGGTTGGGGAGGGAGGAGGATGGCGGAGGGGGTTGGGGAGGGAGGAGGATGGGGGAGGGGGGGTTGGGGAGGAAGGAGGATGGGGAGGGGGTTGGGGAAGAAGGAGGAGGGGGATGGGGATAGAGGAGGGGGTTGGGGACGGAGGAGGGGGTTGGGGGGGGAGAGGAGAGGAGAGGAGGAGGATGGGGGAGGGGGGGTTGGGGAGGGAGGAGGATGGTGGAGGGAGTTGGGGAGGGAGGAGGATGGGGGAGGGGGTTGGGGAGGAGGAGGGGGGGGTTGGGGACGGAGGAGGGGGTTGGGGAGGAGAGGAGAGGAGGAGGATGGGGGAGGGGTGGTGGGGAGAGGGGAGGATGGGGGAGGGGGTTGGGGAGGAAGGAGGAGGGGGTTGGGGATAGAGGAGGGGGTTGGGGACGGAGGAGGGGGGTTGGGGAGGAGAGGAGAGGAAGAGGATGGGGGAGTAGGAGGAGGGAGGGAGGGAGGGAGGGAGGGAGGGAGGGAGGGAGGGAGGGAGGGAGGGGGAGGGAGGGAGGGAGGGAGGAGGGAGGGAGGGAGGAGGATGGTGATGACCATTTTAAACACAAGAGATAAATGACATGGAGTAAAGACTGGGGCTGTCTCTGGCTGTCTCTGCATACACACCATATCCAACTACTTCTGGCCAGGTTAAACAGAACAGACAAATTAGTACCATAGAGTTGAATAGAGGGCACATCTTTGCGATAATCCCAGCAAACATGAAGCCGATGACCAGAGGTGCATTGGCCCAATGTGGGCAGCCTACATGGGGACAATATTTTAATATACATTGTGCCAATGCACCTCTGCTCAGCGGCTCCACATTGGCACTAAGGCAGCTCTCACTTTGACTGAATTAAGCCCTTTTGGATCAGCTGAATGTTACATTGTATCAGAAAGATATAGATATATATATATATATATATATATATATATATATATATATATATATATATATATAACGTAAAGTTTCTCATATGTAACATGCATTTATTTAAGTATTTTTAGGATTTAGATGTTTCTGCTGATAATTTCTGACATTTTGGTAAGCTATTTGTTAGATACATGCAGCTTCTCTTCTGTCATTATGTGTTGCCCCAGAAGACTAAACAAACCCTCGCTCTCCAGAATAACGTCATAAATCGATAGAATGAAGGCTTCAATTTAGTTGACATTTTGTCTCTTATCTTTCATGGAGCAAAGACATTAGGGACCCCCCCCCCCCCCCCCAAAAAAAAAAAAAGTCAACTAAATTAGAAAGCTGTTGAAAACAACGCAACATGTTTCTGATAAGATTTCAGTTCGGCTTGGATGCACATTTTATGTGGTTGAAATACTATCAGCTTTTATGATGCCCTTAAAGACAGCACCTTACCGGGGATTAATGAGCATTCGCCTTCTCTCAAAGA